ATGCTGGATTAGAATTGTTGTATTGGATAATTCAAGACGTGATGAAGAGTGTGTTTAAAACACGAAAGATAGCGATAAACGTTGAAAGGGATTTTGTCAAAGGTATTTAAACAGACCAAGTATAAAACTATTAATCTAAATGCGCTGTGTCCGACCTTCAACAGATAAAAGAGTGATGTAGAAATGAAAAAGGGCTAAATAGAATTAGCATTGTGTAACGAACTCCAGGGAAGATGCTTCCTCAATCACTAAAATCTTAAACTCTTCAAATCAAGAATCAGCAATTGCCTATACTACATAGCCACATAATCTACACCATTTTCTTCCTCTTCGTACAACCATAAAACAACCGCATTTAATAGCTCTCCACCTTGAGTGGCTCTTGAGCCTTTTATGGGATAGACAATAGTAAAAAAAACCTTTACCACAGTCAACAATCAGCATTTTATAAACAGACTGAGGTTATATATGTGCCCGTATATATATATATATATATATATATATATATATATATATATATATATATGTGTGTGTGTGTGTGTGTGTGTATGTCTGTGTGAAATATATATATATATATATATATATATATATATATATATATAGGCAATTTTTAATATATTATTTATATATTATATATGCGCGGTAACTATTTGTCTGACGATCGCAAATAGCGAGAAACCCAGGGTCACAAACTCACATCAATCCAACTATATATATATATATATATATATATATATATATATATATATATATATATATATATATATATATATATATTAAGAAACAGACAACTTTAAGGCTTACATGGGATTTGAATTTATTTCCCTAGGACCTGGATTTTGATCGTAATTCTTTGTACTATCCATACGGATTCCCAAATAACTTCATTAACTATATATATCTATATATAGGCGCGCGCATGTGCGTGTCTCTGTGTGTGTGTGTGTGTGTGTGTGTGTGTGTACATCGACTGTCCATTCAATTACGAGTGTAACTCTCTCTGAACTATAACTATGGATCTACTACCGTTTCCTGCTCATGGGCTATGGCTCCCCAAAAAAAAGGAAGATTTTAAAGAATTCTAGTACACTTTTAACAAAGAAATGTTTTTCCTTGCTATCATTTTTGATATTAGGAATTCGTCTCTGCCTGATAAGAATAGATTTCTTCGATGGCTTATGATACAAAATAATCAAAATCATTTTCATCTGTTGATCATAATATTTATATTAATTTTGATATTCCTAAACATGATTCCGAATGGAATTCTTCATCACAGTTTGCGATAAGAGGAGATGACCACAGCCCTTCACAAACCCATCGAGTCACAGCCGAGTCATATTTAGTTGTTCTTTGCGTTGGTTGATGCATTTTTTTCATTTGGGGGCGGTGAGGAACGGTACTGAAAAAATAGAATGTCTGCCCATATTTTTGTGCATATAATTCTCATGATTCCCCTACATTGAGTAGACACCGAATGTGAGTTCGATATGGAAACTTGGAATCGTTTCTTTGGAATTGTGTTGCACTCACTCACACCGTTTCTAACATTCATTTCTTAGGCCCAACGATCGTCCTCATGTCTTAAAAGATACCTCAACCGTTATAGCCGATTAGATAATGCTCTCCACATATTAAATGGGGGGGTCAATATGTAGATAGATAGATAGATATGAACAGATTGAGATAGATAGATAGATAGATAGATAGATAGATAGATAGATAGATAGATAGATAGATAGTGTTATGGGGTCCACCCCTTTTTCCTATAAGTGGACTCGACCAGAGTGTTACTTGGACTGCTGCCGTTAAATACCCAGTCAGTCAGAGAATAGAGAGTTAGTAGGGATAGTAAGAAGACTGAGACTGAGTTGGAGGTAGAGTAATAGTGTGAGGTAACCGCTTGTAGAAGTCAGTTACAAGCCCGTAGACTCTAAGGAAGTCCTACTTCGAGACTGTATATATCTATATGTTATTGCTACTAACCGCGTTCTGGGATTTACTAACAGTATTACACTTTGTATTATTGTGTAAATACATTTTATTTCTTATATTTAATTCCTCCGATTGTCATTAATTGGAGACCGAATTTGATCTCGGAATCCACAACAGATAGATAGATAGATAGATAGATAGATAGATAGATAGATAGATAGATAATGTATACGTCGTTGAAAAACATTCACAGTGTACTTTTTTTATTTTAGGCATACAACTGATAGATAGATAGATAGATAGATAGATAGATAGATATGAACTTATTGATATAAGATATATAGATAGATAGATATTGCTTTCTTTTCTGGGCTTAATAAATGTAAAAAAAATATTCCAAACATTTATTACTTTCGAGCTTTTTCGTTTAAACAGCTATTTTCAAGTATTACTATTTTTTGTTACACAACTATAACAAATGGTATATAACTGCTATTGTCGACAGTATAAAGGTTGCTGAATGTAGACATATTCCTCATTTCTGAATTCTATTTATCACGATTACTTGTTACTACGTACTAAGACAACCAGGAACGGTTAACGAAACTTTTTTAAGGTGATTCTGTCTTGATTGTCCTCACAAGGCTTAGATTAACCAGTGGTATGGTTTCAGGCACTTTCTAAAGGTGTCACACGCTGGGATCACCTACCCAGATCAATAACAGAAAATTCCCTGCTGTGATCAACGTGAGTTTCGAACTCGAGTCACGTGGTTGGAAACCGATACCGCCGCAAATAAAAAAAGAGAAATCGATAAAAAAGAAGCCTTTGAATATTTACGAAATATTTATTTAACAGATTTCTGATATAAATCTGATGTAAAATTGTCACAAGCGATATATTTTGATTTTAGATTAATAATTACTCAGAAAAAATACACATTTTTTTTAACATTCCAGGAAAAAAACATAAATTATAAAGAAAAGTGTTGTATTGTTTTTGAGAATTAAATAAGACAAGAAACGCATAGGTGTGACGATTGCCAAGTTATAGTAAAAAATCGTTTTTTGTTTTAATGAAATTAGTCAAAAGGAAACTTCTCATTCTTCTCGCTTGTGTAACTTTCTTCCAGCTTCTTGTTTTCCAGTCAACTTTGATTTTCAAAAATTTAAATGCAATGTCAATCGTTATATTCTGTCTTCTATAATTCCTCATCTCGCTATTGTTTTCTCCCCTGAATATTGTTTTTGTTTTTCTCATATTCTTTCATGCTAGGTAACTACTTGCACCTTATTGTGTCTATTGTCTTCCATCAGGTAAAATGAATAAAAAGAAAACACTTCTAATGTAAACATTCAGCCACGCGTATCGGTTAAAGTTTTACCGACTAGACAGCTTCATCACACAAAATATTTCGATTCTTATTTGAGTCGTTGTAAGCAGGAAACTGGGAAACACTTTCTTTTATTCAAGGCCATAGGATCTGTATGTGGCCAGCTAAGTAATATTTGAACATCTTCCTTACTAGCTCTGATTTCTTTCAGGACAGACTAACGGATCTTAGGACAGCGAGAACTTCAGTTGCCCATCTACACATTTCTTTCTGCAGGATTAGATAGGCTTTCTTATCGCCCAGTTTATACACCTCCCGCTTCTCTTGAACAAGAGTAGAGGCTCATCCCTTGTTTTCTGTTTAAGAAGGGTTTCCCGGTTCCTTTCTCTTTCTCAGACCTTAATAATGGTGCTGTCATTAATTTTTTGTGAAATTTGTGTATAGTTGCTACGTCGCTTCATTTTAAGGGTATCGGGTTGGCGGTTTTTTGGTTGCTGCTTCCCAACTGGTAGGTAGGAGCCCGAACTCTTGCGTAGCGTCTTGAGAGGCTGCTCCGATCAGCCGTCGCATAATATCAGGGTTCTTTCACTCCCAATACGCGCATGGAATGGTGTCCCTGCAAGCACCTCCGGTGGGCAACCCTGAGGCTACACTACGTTGCAGTTACATTAGACTACCGACTGCTACTACAAGGCTAGGCCTTTCCTTACCAAAATAACACACCTATAAGGAATCAAAGATATAAAACTAAACTAGCTCAACGAAAAACACCTAAACCTTTCAACCTTTCTTTCTCTAACATTCGTGGTATTTGTACCAACTTCTGCAGTGTGAGATCGTTCCTCTTCTAAAAGTCACCGGACATTCTACCCATCGGTAAAACCAATGTTCTCTTCAACACCTTCCTCTAGTTCTCGATTTCTGGATGTCCGCCTCTCTTTAGGAAGGATTCTAATGTCCATATGTTTATGTTCGTGAACATCTTCCACTAGCTAGGGAGTTCTCTCTTAAATTTCCAGATCATTTTTACATGTGTCTCTGTCTCTCTCTAATTAACTCAGTCAGCCATCTCTTATTTATTTTGATAATATAGACAAGACCATCTCCCTATACCATATATATATATATATATATATATATATATATATATATATATATATATATATATATCAATCTCTCACACAAGTGGTGGACTTCCGCAAGCATGAATAGAATGAAACAGTGTATCCCATCTCGCAAGTTCATTTCTACAGATTATTGGCAGTTCTTCAAGAGCGTGCTGAACATCAGCAAACCCTCAATCCCTCCTCTATTTAATCAATTCTGAAATCTACAGCAGATACGGTGAAATACTCCTCCAACTCAACGCGACTCATCTGGAGTACTCACATCTAATTTCCCAATAGGACAGAGGTTCTACTGAGTGATAACCCCGTCACTGGTCTGAGACATCATTTCTAAATGAGACTTCCATATGGCAAGCGGAGGTGACGGGATCCCAGCCGCCATCCTGAAGAAATGTGCTCCCAAGCTGGCTCCAGTTATCTCCAAACTCTACAACTATCGCCTCGCTGCTTTTTGCTTTCCAGCTTGTTGGAAGTTCTCATCTGTACTCCATTGTTTTAAGAAACCTGGAAAACATCCCGACTGCTCTAACTATCGCCCTGTTATTCGCCTACTTTTTTTCAGCAAAATATTCTTTAATCAATCCTGAAGTGGTTAAGTATCTTAC